GTAATTATTTGAGTTCTTTTTTTTGATGGTGTAGCCCAATATGTATGTATGCTAGCCAAGGTAATCTTCAACAATTTGAATCCAATTCCGAGCAGCGTAAACGCGAGTCTGACTGTAAATAAACGTATCAGGTTTATATTTGATTAGCTCCTCTCGTGTTTGAACTTGAACTCCAGTTATGAACGAGGTTGTGTGACTTCTAACGCCTGTCTCTTAAAGTAGGCTGCGTGCATACATTTCATGTCAATAAACCTGCTTCTAGCCCCCCCCCCCCCCCCCCCACACACACACCCACACTCAACTTTGTCCTTGTAGCCAAGCCGTAATGTTTCGTATCGAATTGCTTGCATGCGTATTTTTAGAATCAAGGCATATGTTATGACAACAGTTAAAATTGGTTTACCCAACATAACATTGACGGTGTGACTGGTAAAACACCGATTGGATTTGAAACTGATTTTTTAAAGTGGTAAACTAGACAGGTAACAAGTGCTTTCTTACGTTATGTTACCAAAACTGTATAATTTTAATCAGCTTAACTTTTCCCCACGTAACAGCTTATCATTGGAATTAGCTGAACAAATCTACAAACTAATTTATTTATGTGATATGGATTAACAGATGGTGGACAGATTTCTGACACAACATATGGTTTCTTATGTAAGAATTAATCGATTACTGATCCGATTGTGGTTTTTACCAAGAGATTACATTCTTCTTTCGCTTAAACGGAGTGAACAAGAAGTGTTGCAATGGTGGATAAAACAAAAACAAAATAAAAACGGAAATTAGATTTCGACCAATCACAAGTCTGTACGCCTTGATGATTCAGGTAAAAAAAATCAAGTTTAGGAAATGTGTCTTTATGTTAGTCTGTGTGTATGTGAACTTTATAACGCAAGTACTGTTTCATTTAGGTGAACGGGCATTAATGAATAAGAACTAAACCTTATTGGAAGGTTTCCTTCAAATTTGAAACTTTCTCGTAACCTAAAGTATTGCTTTTTTATTTTTATTTTCGGTTTCTCAAACAAACCTTAAGTACTTTATTAAGTTAGTTTGATGAGATTTCGCACTGAAATTTTAGAACACACATCCAGTTTTCTGTCCCATTTTGTGAGGTTTCTGGTAAGCAGAAGAGATAATTTATGTCTATGAGAACGTAAACACAGTTTCCGTTCGGCTCTGGAAATTCCAGCTATAATAATTAAATCATAAACTCAAGTGTAACTTAATTTTTTTGCTTATTTCGGGGTAGAAATTTTTTACCTGTTGCTGCAGTGCGGATATCTTGAGTTGATTTTCAATTAGGTGAACGACAATTTATATGTAGGAGGTATCATGTTGTAAACCTAGGCTTCAGTTGACTTTTAGCCTTCTTCGGAACGCAAAAAAATTATTTTAATCTACTTTTGTATAAACATAGCTTTGGTTGTGGCTGCTATATTTAGTACAGGCACTAATTTGCTGCTTTATTATAACCTTACACATATTGCTTGCGTTCATTTGGTTATTAATTAGTGAACTACAATTAACGGTGTATTTTATTTATTTTTTATTATGTACGAAAACGTTACGGGGTAATCTCTATATATACTATGGTATAAATTCTTTAAGTAGTTCATAAGCATTGTATTTGTAACAATTTTTTTCATGCTCTCTGTGTCTTTTTCTCTCTCTCTCTCTCTCTCTTTCTCTCTCTCTCTCTCTCTCTCTATGTGTATATATATATATATATATATATATATATATATATATATATATATATATATATATATATATATATATATATATATATATATATATATATATATATATATATATATATATATAAATCTGTGTAATATGTGTGTATACACGTTTACATACTTGTGTTAAAATGCGTGTGAGCGTGTGTGTGTCATATAAAATCAAATATTGTAACCCCAGTTCCAATAAACGTCGTCCACTTTGTCTTCATTCAAACAGTTGCAGAAAGCGGCCAGAGTTCTGCACAGATTGTTTTATCTCCGCTCTCCCAAACCTGTTTCAGTCTCCGCTGGTTCCAGCCGTACCGCGGTCCTTTCCTTTCTTCGTGCCAGACGGACGCGGTGCGCCATCGTGACTCGGATCCAGGCCACGGGTCGGTCTGTCAATCAATGGCTGCCTAGTGACCCCAGCCTGGCTGATATTTGGCTGCAGTTCTGGACTCTCTGTGCTGGACCCACATCATGAAAATTCTGAGGTAGGATGTCATTGTTGTAGATGTGATCAGGTACAAATATTAGATGTGTACTTGTAATAGCTGTATAAGTGATCAAGGACACATTTAAGAATTATACCTGTAATTGTAGAATTGATAAGGTACAAATATTAGAGGTATGATGTATTTGTTGTAAATGTGATATTGTATAAATACTTAGGTATGATGTCATTGTTGAAGGTACACATATTAGAGGTATGATGTAGGCCTACTTGTTGTAGAAGTGATAAGTTACAAATATTAGAGGTATGATGTATTTGTTGTAGAAGTGATCAGGTACAAATATTAGAGGTGTACTTGTAACAGCTGTAGATGAGACCAAAGACAAAGTTTAGAAGTATACTAGTAATTGTAGAATTAATCAGGTACAATTATTTGTTGTAGAATTGATTCCGTTCAAATAAAAGAGGTATAATTGAAATTACTGTACAATTGATCATGTTCAAATGTTACATGTATACTTGTAAATGTATAATTGATCAGGTACAAATGTTAAAGGTATAATTGTAATTGTTATAGAATTGATTTCGTACAAATACTAGAGGTATAATTGTAATTGTTCTAGAAATTATCATGTAAAAATATAGGTATACTTATTACTATAGGAATGTTCATTTCTAGGAATTTCGTTTATGTTGTGGAATTAGCAATTTACTAATTAAGAGGCATTGATGTACAGCTTGTACAAGTGTGCACTTACAAATAATTTTAGAATAGTTCCGTATAGAAAGACTGAAATTATAAATATTGTAGAAATTATCACATTGAAATATTACATGAGTATCCATATAAGTGTTGTATAATTAATCACTGAAAATAAGTTCGATTAATAATATTGCTAACATGTGGATTCAAAAATTCTAAATAGAATTTTTAAGTGGGTTTTTTTTCAGGTCACGAATATATCAATTATGTTTTAATATTATTAGCATAAAGTATAAAAAGATATGAGTTATTATAATAAGCAAATGTGATTAAACAGCAACCACATAAAGTGTTTTAATATTTGCTTAATTAAAATGCTTTAGGTTTTACCTATTCTTTAAAAAAAATTACATAAAATACATTTTTTAAGATGAACGTTCGATAAATTGTTTCACGTGTACATTTGTTTTTACACTTATTGACTTCTAATATTTTCACATTTTTCATAATGCTTAGATCTATATTGTTTACGCGTTTTGCGAATATAGTTATTGACGATCGGTTCTATTAACGCAATTTAGGGTACTTTTTCATGTTGTATATTTTGTAATCATGTTTTTAACTAAAAGAAATTAAAAGAAAATGTATGTCTTGCACATAATATGAAAAAAAATAATTGTTCCCTTTACTGAGGTTATATAAAGAATATATTTGATTTACGGATAAAAATAAATGATATAAATTTCAGATAACTAAAATTGGTATAGGAATAAAATTAAAACCAAATAAAAAGTTTAATATTTAAAATAAAAGACCTTTATAATGATAATAATAATAATAACAATAATAACAATAATAACAATAATAACAATAATAACAATAATAACAATAATAACAACAATAACAATAATAACAATAATAACAATAATAACAATAATAACAATAATAACAATAATAACAATAATAACAATAATAACAATAATAACAATAATAACAATAATAACAATAATAACAATAATAACAATAATAACAATAATAACAATAATAACAATAATAACAATAATAACAATAATAACAATAATAACAATAATAACAATAATAACAATATTAACAATATTAACAATAATAACAATAATAACAATATTAACAATAATAACAATAATAACAATAATAACAATAATAACAATAATAACAATAATAACAATAATAACAATAATAACAATAATAACAATAATAACAATAATAACAATAATAACAATAATAACAATAATAACAATAATAACAATAATAACAATAATAACAATAATAACAATAATAACAATAATAACAATAATAACAATAATAACAATAATAACAATAATAACAGTAATAACAGTAATAACAATAATAACAATAATAACAATAATAACAATAATAACAATAATAACAATAATAACAATAATAACAATAATAACAATAATAACAATAATAACAATAATAACAATAATAACAATAATAACAATAATAACAATAATAACAATAATAACAATGATAACAATGATAACAATAATAATAATAACAATAATAACAATAATAATTGATAAACATTAAAAATCGATCTATCTATTTTGTTCAGCAGGTACGGTCGATTGGTTAGCACCAGATCCTTCTTGATTCTTATAATAATAACAGTGGTGGTTTTGTTCGTACAAAAGTTTAACGTCGACTATTCCGATCAACTGGATGGTGGGTTCTCACAAACTGAAAGCTGCAATTTCCCATCATTGGATCCTTTTAAGTAAGTCCAATAGCTATATTGTGAAATTATTAAGTTTAATTAGTATTAAATTTGTTGTTAAATTTTCAAATAATTGCTATTTGATTGACAGTAATGACAATATAAAAAGAATCGTAAGTACTTTGTAGATATTTTTTATAAAAGAAACGAATCTAAATCCAATCGATGTAGCATTAATGCAACATTTTGTATTTCAGCCCAAACTCCATGAAGTATTATGAAGAGTTTCCTACTGTTGCATGTCCACATGGTCTACACACCTTGACGTACTACGATGGTAGTTTCGTTCACGTTAATCAAACAATGAAGAACAGATATCACATAAATGAATTGATAATGTGTAGATATAGATCTGTAACATACAAAAGGAGGATTGACTATGTCAACGGACATTGGCAGGAGTGGTTTTCTAGCTCATCAAAAGTTCCAGAAAATGTTCATTTTGTTGATGTTCAGTGCAAGGATAGCAATAACAAAATTGTGTCAAATATGTTACACTACCCAACAAGACAAGAGCTTAGAAAACGTGAAGTCCCACATAACAACAACTTCAGCTCAGAGCAGATGAATGTATTGCTGCTTGGGTTAGATTCACTGTCAGGAAATTTGTTCAAACGAGCTATGAACAAAACAAGAGATTATTTATTGAACACGATAGGTGCTGTCGAGATGAACATGTACAACAAAGTTGGAGACAACACATTTCCTAACCTGCTAGCGATCACTGCAGGAAAATATGAACATGACATCCCAAACTGGAGCCAAGCCGAGGGCTTTGACGCCGTGAACTTTATCTGGCAGGATTTCAAGAAAGCCGGGTTTCGAACCCAGTACATCTCTGATGTACCGGACTTTAACGACTTCTCTCGACCACCAACAGATTGTTTTAACCTACCAATGGTGAAATCGTTAATGAAAGATAAAATTGCGTTTAACAACAACTGTTTTGAAGACAAAATCGAAGTCAATTTATGGTTGAGTCTTATAAAAGAGTTTATTCTAGAATCTCTCCACACAACAGGACGATTTTTCTCTTTAGCTATGATAAAAAGACCGACACATGACTTCCCAAATCAGGCTAGTGCTGTAGATGAACATTATTTTAATTTTCTCAAAGACATGCAGGAGTCGTCTTTATTCAACAATACGTTCTTTGTGTTCTTCGGTGACCACGGACCGCGAAAAGGTGCTTACAGAAACACGTTTGAAGGCAGCATCGAAGAACGGGCGGCAGCGATGCTGGTGATGGCACCTCAGTGGTTTCAGAAAAAACACTCCAGGCTTTACAAGAACCTGCTCACTAACGCTAACAGACTGACTACAAACTTTGACATCCACAAAACTTTAAAAAGTTTGCTTAGTTTAGACTTTGAAGGGTTGTCAGAAAAATCTAAAGTTGATTTAGGTTTTAGGACGAGATCTTTATTTTCTGAGATAACTCGAAAACGAACATGCGAGGATGCTGATTTGTCTCCACATTACTGTATGTGTAACGGTGGGGTACCTGTTCCCACTTGGGAAATCGCACCTGAAATAGGTAATCAAGTTGTACAGGATATAAATTCAATCACGTCCAAATACCGCGACAAATGTGCCGTCCTGAAATTCCGTAACGTAACCAGTTTGACGTTACACGGCGGGTCTATAGGCTGGAGTGGGGTCTACAGAATCATGTTTGATACCAGCCCAGGGTTGGCGTCGTTTGAGGCCACAGTCAGATACACCGTCAGCTTCTTTATATTCACGTCAGTACAGACTCTAGGCGACATCAGCAGGACGAGCACGTACAAAAACTTGTCGGATTGTGTGGAACATGATAAGATTGTACGAATGTATTGCTACTGTAAGGATTTACTGACTCGTTGAAAGCCAGTTATAATTTCAATTATATACACTGTTAGTAAATTGTAACTAAATTAGGATTTATATATATATATATATATATATATATATATATATATATATATATATATATATATATATATATATATATATATATATATATATGCACCAGTGGAGAAAGATATCATCAGTTCAATTGACATACCTCAAGTTAAAATATAAACGTCAATATTTCAAATAGAATGAATTATTTCTTGATGAACAAATTGTGTAATTTTTTTTATATCTACGTATCAAAGATTATATATATTTATAGATATTTATAATCTGACAAATTCTGCCTCCTCTTGACACACTGACGGGCCTTTACAGACACACTGATGCCCATTTCTGAAAAACTAACTATCATGACTAACGAGCTAAGACTAAAAACTGACAAAATTAACATTTGTTGATTTTCATAATAAAAAAATAAATGACAATTTAAATTATTTTAAGATTTTCTCAAACCGTCCATAAGCTCATCACCTAAACAAAATAAATGTATTTGTATTGCCTAATATGTCTCATGTATTTTTTTTAATTATCTTTCATTATAACACGAGGTGAAAGTAATTATGTGTATAAAAAAAATAGTTTACGATATGTAGATTATTATCATATACTACTATTTCTAATACTAATAACATTAAAAAACATTATATTTATAACATAAATAATTCACTATCATTTTTACAAGTAGTAATAATACTAATAATTATCGCCTATATTTTAAAAATAGGCGATAATAATGATAATATTAATAGTGTAAAAAAATTAGCAATGTTTATTGAAGTACAAATTGGGATCATTTTTTTTTAAATAATTATAAAAAACTATTATTATATTTCTTAAAAAAAAAGTATTATATTTTTATTAAAATTAAAAGTGACAATAATAATAATTTAATTGTATTAAAATGTTATAAAGCAACTGGAATTATAATTTTTAAAATGAATTGCTAGAAGTTAAAATAATGAACATAACAACAAGGCACATTATAATTTTGAAACAATAATGATTTAATTAATAATAATGATGATGGTGAAAATAAAAATTATGGTAATAAAAAGAATTATTTAAAAACAATAATAATAACAAAAACAATATGAATTATAATAAAACAGATACTAAAAGTAATAACATTAAGTAAAAACATTAATAAAATAATAATTTTTAACCTATTATTATTTTTATTATAAAAATAATAGTAAAGCTAATAATAATAATAAAAGAATATTATTTACAACTTAATTTCTTTTTTAAATAAATATTACTCTTAAATTGGCCCTTACAGTAAATCAACCTAAATAAACCGGGAGTGATCTCCCCTAAACTTTCTCGAATATTTTTATATAAAAAAACAGGGGATGGGAACTCGGGCTATAGACATGATTTTTAATCCATTTTAAATACTTAAAGTTTTAAAATTAGAATAAAATCTCGTAGACAAAAGAATTGCACACCAAGTGAACGCCGAATAAAAAAGTGCATAATAGTGCGCAATATTATTAGTACTTTAAAAATTTACATTAGTTTTTTGAGAAATCGGAAGTAGCGTAAATTACTACTTCTGGTCAATGGAAATTACTCAAAATTTAACAGAAGATAGAGAATTAGATCTTTTACTTACTATCTGAAATAGTACTCAAGTTATAGGCTTTTGAAAAATTCAAAGTAGAAAAAGTACCACTTCCGGTTATCGGAAATCGCTCAAAAGTTGATATGGATCTACGATTTTGATAAAATACTTATATATGAAATTTCATCAACCTAGCTGTAACGGTACTCAAGTTATAGTGTTTACATACAGACAGACAGACATACAGACATACGGACAGACACACAGACATACGGACAAGATTGCAAAATTATGTTTTTCCGTATCAGTGAGATGTAAAACGTCGAGATTTGTTAAAATCTCGATTTTTTTTTTGAAGGATTACAATACTTTCTCTATACTTCGTATATGCGAGAAAGTAAAAAAGTATACAAATCTAATGTCAGTAGAACAGGTTGTATAATATTGGAAAAATAGAATGTGTTCAGAAAAAATATTAGACCCTATATGATAAATATAGAAATAATAATAATAATAATAATAATAATAATAATAATAATAATAATAATAATAATAATAATAATAATAATAATAATACTAAAATAATAATAATAATAATAATAATAATAATAATAATAATAATAATAATAATAATAATAATAATAATTTTTTTTATTATTATTATCATTATTATTATTATTCTTATTATAACAATAATAGAAAAAATGATATTTCAAACTAAAACTTATTATTTTGTATTTGCACACAAATAAAGTGACACATTTTTATAAAAAAAACCTACAGGATATGCAATAAAAAAAACGGAAAATACGAATTATTAATTCAATTTTAAGCGCAATTTTTAGAAAAAAAATACCATAAGAATGACACTGTTTTGAGAACTAGTGAATTTTCAATGTCAGTATAAACGTTGTTAAAAGCTAAAAATGTTTACATGATTTCTGTATTGCGCTTTCTTTTGTAGCCCAGTGTAGTCTATTTGTTTACATAATTCTACAATACAAATTTATAGTTGTCATTTTAGTCTAGACAAAATGCATGTTATAACAAAATCGATATTGATGTTAGGACACTGCTCGAGTTAAGTAATAGTTTGCACACCAAAATACTTCTTCGTTACTTTATCTTCCTCGTTGTAAGAGCTACACAAATTATGTATTGATCAACTTATTTTTGGCTATTGTGGTATCGACTACAGATTTCATTTCACTGGAGGTGTATAAACAGTAAACATGTTTTTGTATTGAGTGGTATCGATTACAAACACAAGAGATTTTACCAGAATGGTATCGACTACAAATAAATATTTCACAAGAAAGGTATCGATAACAAACATGTATTCAGCTAGGACGATACAACTAAATACAAACCCATATTGATGGATGTTAGCTGGAACCCCAACATAACCTTAGGTGTTTTTAACAATGGCAAACAGAACATAAAAATGTCTGCGTTGTGTTAGTTCAATGTAAACACGATCTCCGCTTTTCCATTCATAATTTATTTTCTTAAGCAAAAATTCCATTCTCGTTTATGTTTAGAGAGAAAGAAGAGCTAAACCAGAAATTTTTAATTTGAAAATGAATCGACACAATTTTTTCAACAGCAACAATATGTCTCGGTGAGGGGGTTAAGTCGAGCGTGACGGTGATTGTCTGGCCAATGTGTGACGTGAAGCGTGACACCAATCTTCTTGACACTGTGTTATATCGGGTTCGACATACAACCATCAATCATGCACGAGTTGGGTTAAGTTAGCGCCAGGCCTAGAGTTTGACACACTTTGATCTACCTGTAGTGCATGAATTAGAGAACTTAGTTTCATGTGACCTGTCTCTAACGAGTCTAGGACAGATATACATACAAAGCTTTTGGCAGTGGCCTATGTCCTAGGAGGGGTGACAGCTAAACAAACATTTCTTTAAACAAGTCAATACTTAAGATAAAGTGTATTTCTGATATCATTTCATATGTATAATAGTTAATGGATTTAACATACGATTTACACATCAAATCCAAAAGGTTTTACTGAGAATTATGAACTAATTTTACTGTCGGTCTCGTGTTTTCCTCTTGAATGATTTCAAGTATTTTAATATACAATTGATGTTTTAAGCATTATATATATATATATATATATATATATATATATATATATATATATATATATATATATATATATATATATTTTTTTTTTTTTTTTTTGCTTTAGTTTTTAGAGACACATTTTGAATACTGCAATATGTTAATTTCTTATAATAAGAACATTGAATTCCACTCCGCTTTTCCGTCACACCAATTTTATTTAAAAATCTAAAAAAAAAATTTTTAATTTTCTAATTTAACGCCATTACCAACGTTATCATCAATGTATGCCCCCCCCCCCCCCCCGCCTGTGTTATCTGTACAGATGACGTACCAGGGATGATGCGTCACGTCGTTAAATCCTCGGGTCGTGTGTTATCGCTGTTAGACAAACAAAGAAAAAACACCAGGGCTTGGGGTTTACTCTAGATTGTGAGGTCGTGAACTCGGTGTTGAAAAAAAAAACTTATCTAAAACAAACTTGCGATTGAGAAACCACTCGCGTTTTGACCAATTTTGTCGTCATTTGTCATGGCGGGTGTCACCTATATGGAACCTGTCCCAGTTTCACCTCGCGGGTATTTGCAAACGGTCAAATATAAAGTTTTGTTTGCATTCTTTTTATTTCATTTTTTTTAAGGCTTCTTTTCTTATAAAAATCAGGGCAATGTTGTTTCTTATCGCTGTTTCTGTACTGTCGATATCGTAAGGATTAGCGATAGAGTCTTGGCAAGATTTATGTGTAGAATTGATTTAAGGTAATGGTAAAATATACGGCAAGAACAGCGGTATCAGGAGTAGCCACAGCTTATTGTAGTTTATTAGAATACATGTTGCAGATAAGCATTTGTGTACGGAAGAATCTGTAGAAGTTGAATATGTAATTCAAATAGAACACACATTAATTTATATGTATTAATATACGTTATAAATTCATATTGATATATTTTTGTAAAGGGTGCCTGCACAATTTTTCTTATATTTAAAATGAACCGGCAGTTATAAACGTTACAAGACGCAAATAGTAAACTATTTGAGAATTTGAGAGTGGATTGTTTTACAATAACATGGGTTGAATGTTTTAAATAGCTTATACAATTAAAAATAGAAATTATATAATTACTCGCTAACTCACAAGGTGCAATCTATCTTGAATTGTTTCCTAAATTTATTTTGATCAAATAAGTTTAATTGATGTAAGTTATCTACTGTAGCTTCTTATAGCTTAATATTAGTTTTACAAAATTATTAACCCTTAAATGCATACCGGTACAAATCTGCAACATACCACTTACCTTCCCATAAAATATTAGCCTAA